GATTCCTCAAGTCAAGCTATCTTTATTTGTCAGTGTGCAGTGAACTTCTGATGACATTTCAGTCCTCAGATGTAGCTGCAGAGTGAGAGCTCAACACTTTCACGCTGCTCTCCTTAAGCCTGGTATACACTGTGCAATGTTGGGCTGTTCAAGACGAAAGATGACCAACATGAAAGAAACATGCCGATATCTTTGGTCGTGGCTCTAAAATGGTGGCCCTATGTCACACAGTAAGAGAGGTTAAAGGATGGTCATTGTCACGGTCTTGCAATCAAGGACAGTCTGGGGTAAAATTTTGAACAGTGTCAGAAATTTGGGAAGACCATCCCTCAGTGTGAGTGCTCTACTCTCTAGTAGACCTACGTCTACTAACCAACCAACAGAAATGGAGCATGAAATTACACACTGTCACTAAACTCAAACAGACAGATAGCAGCTCGCCGTGGAGACAAAACCCAGGAAAAGAAATGTGTGTGATTCAAGCAAAGAAGTAAATCTTGTTGAGTTGTAGCAGCAGAAGCCTTGCCTCTTTATTTACCATGATCGCGTAAAGAGGGACGAAGCATGGAAGAATATAGTCGCAGTGAGCAACCTAGCAGCTAGCAAACACACAGACACACCGCAGTATATAGTGGCCACAAAACCTTTAATAATGTGACCCTCTATGTTGTGCTTCACAGTTGGAAAAGTGATAACCCATGCAGCAACCTTGCTATTGCATCGCATGTCGTAGCCTGCAATTAAGTAGGTGCTGTCATCGTACAGTCTGCAGACATCAAACTTGATGTCGTACCCAAGTTTATTAGATCCATGTCGCACAGTGTAGATGCACTGAACTTATAGGATTGCTAAAATCTCAGTCTGTAGGAGGCAGCTGCAGACCCAGCGTGAGTCTGAGTGAGAAGGAGGCAGCTGCCCGGAGGAGGAGAGCTCTGAGTTAATGTTATTTTCTGCCTTTTCAGAAGTGGTGAATTTATGGCTCATAGCAACTTAATATGTTGTGGTCTCTGGCTTTTGTTTGATATCTAGTTTAGGCAAATTTTGGCACATTTCCGATCCGTTGCTAGAACAGTTAGCAAGCTTTAGGTCGCAGGGCTAACATGGCTTGTTTACTATATTACATGAAGGTTGCTATCACCATGACAATCTTGCTGAGCCCCATCAAACTCTCAAGACACTATACTGCTCCACTCTTAAAACTCTGGCAAAACCAGGAGTGGTTATGCATCATTGTCGACCTGAAATAACATTCGATTCAGATAGAAATGGAGTGTAACGAGTTGACAATTCTGTCTGAAAACAGGCAACACGTGCCCCATATCTGAATGATATCACAAAATACCAGAAGAAAATGAACATGTTGACCCCCTGATGATGCTACAGGAAAAATCAGGGGATCACCAAATTCAGTAGGACTAATCCTGTGGGGTTGAACCACCCGACTAGCCATCGCTGCCATCCCACTATTAGACTAAAACCTGGTTGGAGGCACTAAACAGCCACCAGTAGTATTTATTAGTGCAGTACCGGATAAACACGATATATTCCAACAGAGCTGCAGTAAACACCACATTTATGAATTATATAATGCTCTGTTTTTGTTCAGATGTTATGTTGTAAGGTGTTCTTGGCATTTGTCCACTCCCTAGATATCCACAGACTGCATGTGGAGAAACAATGGATTTCAGAGTGACACGCAACATGTACAGTATCACATGACCGTGGTTATATTTTCCACATTAGCAAACAGTTAAGTGACAAGTGTGCAAAGAAGCAACAACTTAAAGTCCTTCTTCTCCTGCCTTAGCATCTCAAACACTGCGACTTGTTATAGTCACAATTATCAATAACAATTCAGAAGTGGAGTAATATTTTTACACTTAACGACATGAGCTGCTTGTAATAGCTGTGCACACCAGAGAGACAGAAAATAAGCAAAGAATAAATGGAGACTAGAGCTGAAGTCAACCTATGTCTGAGAGCTTCACCTTACACCTAATCAACTGTTGTTAACTTTCTGTACGAGAATGCCTTCTTACCGTCCTGCAGTTGCTCTGTGTGCGAGGGTATCTATGAGTGTGTGGCCGTTCCACCTGCCTGCTGTCACTGAGGATCTAGGGCATTACCTGGAGTCAGGTGTCAGATGCAGTGAGAGCCTGGATGTGTGTGTGTGTGTATGTGTGTGTGTGTGTGCAACAAATTGACGGAGTAAACATCCCTTTATATTCTCTTATCAATGAAATTTTGATTGCTGTTCCAAGGCGCAGCTGTGTGTTGTGGAATGAAATGTGGTGTCAGCGTGGGTTCATGATGCGTGTTGGAGTGAAGCACATGTACAGTGTGAGGGGAGGAGGTGTGTCAGTGGGGTTCGGGGTAAGTGTGAGCGCTGAGTGAGGAGAGATGGGCGTTCTCCTGTGTCTGCTAGTGCTGCTGTGCTGAGGAGGCACAAAGTGACACTTTGTTTCCCCCGCCAGATAGCCAGTGCAGGAGAACAGAGTGGCATTCATCATTTCAACAGGCTGATGCACACAAAGGCATTCATTGTGGGTTAACAGTAATCGTGTATGCACATGTGTGATTAGAATGGCTTGTAATGCAGTGCACCACAACTGCTTTTTAATGTTATGGTCATAAATCTATTACAGTCTTGTTGTGGTTACTTTTTACCACCAACATCTGAAGTAAGAGCAGCAGCTTAGTCCCCCGACTCTGGAAACCTCATAAGATCCTCATTTTATATGATCTGGAATCATAACGTCTGTGTGCATCAGCTTAGTGTTAGTGTGTAATAAGGCCAGCTCCCCCTCTCTCCAGTTTTGGCAGCATCACACTGCAGTCTCACAGGGATATGGTAATGATGGGGCTTTACCAACCTGGATGCCGCCTATATTACAGCAGCATAGCACTTCAAAGACAGACTACTCCTCTGACTGACTCCGTACAGAAATAGAAATCCCCCCAGTAAAGCTGCACAAACACACAGATATTCACATCCACATGTGCTCACACACACACAGGACGAGTCTTAATGACTGCACTTCATGTAGAAGGAGGCCAGGACCAACCGCCTCTGCTCTAGTCTCAACGATACTGTAGCAGCCATGTGGTGAAGCAGTCATTCAGAATGTTCATGAAAATGAGAATAAATGCTGAAATATGTTCACATTTTCCACTATAAAAGTCAAAACTGCACGGTAAGATGAAAATCTGTTAATGTATGTACTGATTTCATGCTCGTCACTGTGATGCGGCCTTGATCTACAGCCTGCTGCATTTCCTTATTATTTTGGATGTATACTGAGATTTCAGAGGTAACCTAAATGCCTCAAACATGTCAGTAAAGTAAACCTTGACATCAGCAGCAGTTTTATTACAACACATACTGCATAGTGGATTATAAAGAGAAGGGGTGTGCACTACATAAACACATATAACCATACATGACATTAATAATAACATCTGTATAATAGTATATAAAATACTGTATGTTCTATTGATGGGTGATATAAGATTACTTCACATTATTTAACAGCTCTAGTTGCTAGTTTCTTTGCGAAATACAGTGTTACACACAAAACATGCAGGCGATGAGGCCAATGCATCATAGAATGAGCGCCTACAGCTTTTGAAGTACATGTTAGTGATAAGCTAATGCCTCTAAGTTAATTTTGAATGTCTGGGAGTTTCCATTCCTGTTTGTCAAACGTGTGGCTGTGTGACTCCGAAATCAATTGACATTTAAACACAGAGAAAACAATGAGTCAGACTGTCTTTGTCCACCTCACGGTGATTAAAATCAAATCCATTTATCTGAGGTCAAAGTGTGTTAAATGACTCAAATAACATGGATGCTGTTTGGCATTGTGAAAACCCTCCACAGATGTCTCTGAAAAAGTGTCTGTAGTCACCATTTGGGTGGCGGTGACATGTTTTAGTGTTTACTGTGCAGCTTGGTGCTTGTGAGAAACCAAACCTTCTGGTTGGACATGAAGCTGATCATTGCAGTACTTAATAAGACACTACTCTTGAATCACTGATGGTGACGTAGTCTTTACTATGTGAGCTCTTCCCTAAAGCACAGACCCGGATGGCACACAGCACAGCTCTGTCTTAACATGTCATCACTCAGCCATCAGTCCTGCACCTTGTACAGCTCACAGCTTCTCCTGTCACTCAGGTGCCAAAGCAGCCAACCACAAAACAGACCAGTTTAACTGAAACCAGCAGCATAAATCCAACACCAGCAGCCTGTGAATTCATCTCTGGCAAGCTGCCATCTATTCTCCTTGCTCCTGTGTCTCAGCACCAGATTCCTCTGACGATGACAGTAATGCAGCGTTGATTTAAAAGCCTTTAAATGACGCGTGGACACATAAATCCATATCATATTTTTTCCTCGCACATGTAGGCCCGCACCATATGGCCTGTGCATGCTTCTCCAGCTGACTCAAAAATCCTGCAGAAAGCCTGTATTGTGTATCGTCTGGAGAAAGCCATGGATCGCTGTGGTGAAACACCACATCAACATAGACCTAAAGGCAACGGATCAATACGTAACCGTTAATGGCAGATTAGCGGATGCTGCCGCACAGGGATTACAGCCTATTAATTGCAGAGTAAAAAGGCGCACGGAGAACAAAGAATCTGGCCTCTGCTTTTCTCCCATAGTGACAAAGATGAAATCCAAATGGCGATAAACTGATTGGCATTATTTTGGATTTAAAAACAAATAACCAGTGATTACAATTTGGCCTGTTGACATCGGCGTTTGCGCATTTCAGGACGGATCAAATTGTAAGTCCCATCCCATTTACAGTACACACACACGCGCGCGCGCGCGCACAGACACACACATCTGCGAAGGATGGAGCAGAAGATGTGAGCGGGTCAATGAGAAATGAGAGGTGGGATACAGTGACAAGGTCATCAGCATCGTGAAAATGGACAACAATCATCAGAATGACAAACAACATGGAAGAGAAGAGGAAAAATCCCACCACCTTTTTTTTTGAGCGCGATTCCTCCTCGTGATCGGCGCTGAGGTAAAGCCCCGCTCCGGCAGCTCCGACCCTTTTGTGTTGCTGATGCTGCGGGTGCCCGACAGGGAGACGCACGCACAGTCAGTCCCGCACAGCTGCACGCGTGCGAGATGGAGATGGGAGGGTGTGGCTGCGAGAGAAAGGCGAGCGGCGGCGGTGGCGGTGCATGGTGTACGGTGCAGCGCCAACACATGAGCTCCCGTCACGATGCGGGCACGTTACTGTAACGTAAGCTCGTGCATTTCGGAAGTAATTACAGAAACGAGAAGATGAATGGAAACGCCGTAACCGCCCCGAGGAACAAAACACAGTGTATTCCCCGAAGGTGTTAATCCTACTGATGTGTGTGTGGAGAGTGTGGTGACCTAATGTGCATGTGCACCATCACTGTGCGTCTCTGTCAGTCTGTGTAGTGTGTGAGATCTACAACAGCTACAGTGTTTGAGCTGATGATGCTGTATGCCAACGGATCAAAGGATGAAACACTGGTATTCTCTATTTCACACACAGACCATGGCTGACATGTTGACACCCCCAAAGAGCACAATACAAGTGTGTTTTTAGGTTTATATTAACAATTATTAGCCTATAGCCACAGTCGGATCACTGCACTGTAAGAAGGCATGCTTTGGTATCTTAGTTTGGAAACATAAATATCAAGTATACATATATTTTTTCATCTCATGTGGAAAATAAACCAGCATGGTGGATCATCGGCCCTCCAAAGAAGCTCCCTGCTCCAGATAGGAAGAAAAACAAAGAGTCCAGCATAGAGCCTGGCTGCTCCCCCTTCCCTAAATCAATATATTATGTCTATAATATATATGTTTTTCTCCACACCCTGAGCACTACCCAACCTGGCCAATTAGTGCAGCCCGTCGGGCATTTCGGGACTTGTCAGGCTCAGGTTGGGTTGAGAATTCTCTCTTGGATATCCCTATGGTGGGTAAAAAACGATTAAGTGCCCTCTGTGGTGCCCTTCTAGTGGAGCAAATGCTTTGCAGGACCCTCAAGGGTGCCCTTCTAGTGGAGAAAACACGATGAAGTGCTCTCTAGAGGGCCCTTATAGAAGGGAAAATACAATAAAGTGCCATACAGTGCACTTCTAATGGAGAAAATGCAATGCAGAGCTCTCTAGGTGCCCTTGTAGTGGGGAAAATGCAATACAGGGCCATATAGGATGTCCCAAATGCAGACTCCACCATTGTGGCAACTATTTTCTAACCTTCTTAGTTGATTTTCAAGCAACAAACGCCCAAATTAAGCTAGTTTCATCCTATAATTTGTGAGGCTTTCCTTTAATTTATACCACTGTAAACTGAATATCTTCGGGTTTTGGACTGTTGGTCGCACAAAACAAGACATTTTAAGATGTCACCTTTGGTTTCTGGATTATTGTGATAGGCGTTACCCCATTTTCTGACATTTCAGACATTTTAGACCTAACAATCAATCAGTTAACTGAGAAAATAATCTGCAGTTTTAAAATTAATATAAGTATAATCAGTAGCTGCAGATAAATATGCAGTTCCCTAATAAAACTTTGATCAAAACAAAGCATTAAATCATTATTTCAAGTTTTCTGCATAAAAAGGACTGACACAATGTGTTCCAAACATCAGTGTTTGCAGGATAATCTCCAAACCTGGAAGATTTTAGCTGCTAAATCTTCAAGCATGAACTAAGATTTATGTTTTAACCCCGTTTTAGCCCTGAATTACAGGCACGAAAACATAAAATAGCCCTTTCAACTCTACAGATGCCAAGATTTAGACCATTTTTTTCTAACACGTTACTTGCTGGTGTAGATACACCAACTGGCCAAGGCTTAATATCAAATCTGCCATTTTTCCAAGTTGTAATAGGCTTTATAAACTCAAGTAGCAGGCTCAACACAACCACAAATGCAGCTTATGAAATTAGCTGGCACCAGCTATGCTGCAAAGGTGTTATAACCAAGCTCTAGAATTGATACTTTAATAGTTAGAGGCCTAGTAGGTATTCACAAGTATTTGCGGTAAACAAAAAGGTCTGTTTTTTGTTTGTGAAAGGTTGTGCAGGCCTCATGTCGGCCCTTTGGAGAAGAAACTGATCAATTATCTGATCATGCAAATTACATACAGGACACCCAAGCAAAGCTGGATAGGTAGATGAGGCAAAGAGTCATGCTGCGGCTCCTCCACTCGGAGAGGAGTCAAGTGATGTGGTGCTGACGGATATTTCAAGACAACTGGATTGTGTCAAACTTCCCTGTACAGTACGTCTTTACAGACTTAAAATGATAAATTACTCCATACTCACTCAGAAATCTGAGTCCCCTGAGCTATGGCTAAACACTGAGGCAAACCCAGAAAACTACATGTCCCAGCTGGCATGTGGGCACTTCAGGATCCCCAAGAAGGCTGTGCTGAGGACAAGTCTGTACACATCACCCTGTTGTAAACATAATGCTCACTTACATGGGCCAAAACCTTTCTGGCTGCAAATATGCCTACATTAAGGTCGTTTGGCAAAAGGAAATGTTTATTAATGTGCTACAATCCTTAGACAGCCTGAGTCCACCACTGCCGCAACTATTATTTTTAAACATTTTGAGTCAGTTTTCAAGCAACAAACCCCCAAAATAACCCAGTTCCCTCCTATAATTCCTATTCCGATTATAAGTCTTCTATAAATATATCACTGTAAACTACATATCTTTGGGTTTTGGACTGTTGGTCACTTCAAACAAGAAATTTCAAGATGTCACCTTTAGTTTCTGGTGTATTGTGACAGGAAATATGCCAACATTAAGGTATTTTGGTAAAATAAAATGTTTATTTAATGTGCTACATTCATCAGACAGCCTGAGTCCATTACTGCGGCAACTATTTTTCAACATTTTGAGTCAGTTTTCAAGCAACAAACCCCCAAAATAACCTATTTTCCTCCTATAATTCCTATTCTTATTGTAAGTCTTCTCTAATTATGTCATTATAAACTAAATTTCTTTGGGTTTCGGACAGTTGGCTGCTTAAAACAAGACATTTCAAGATGTCACCTTTAGTTTCTGTTGTTTTGTGATAGGAAATATGCCTACATTAAAGGCATTTTGGCAAAATAAAATGTTTATTAATGTGCTACATTCCTCAGACAGCCCGAGGAACCACTGTTGCAACTATTTTTGTAACATTTGAGTCAATTGTCAAGCAACAAACCCCCAAAATAACTTAGTTCCCTTCTATGAGTCCTATTCCTATAATAAGTCTTTTCTGATTCTATCAATGTAAATTACATATCTTTGGGTTTTGGACTGTTGGTCGCTTAAAACAAGACATTACAAGATGTCATCTTTAGTTTCTGGCGTATTGTGATAATGAATCTGCCTACATTAAAGGTATTTGGGCAAAAGCATGTGTAATGAATGCACTAGTACTCAGAATGTTGTTCAATGCATTGAATGCACCAGCGAGGATTTTATTTTGAAAATCTTAACTGGAAGTGCTTCTTTAAATTACTATCTAGTTAACTTAACGTTGAAGATACACTGTATGTGGAGCAGACACACTTGATGTGTCCATATCAATTCTCTGATGTCGCCTTAATATTTCTTGATTGTTTGTTTTATTGAAAGAGCTTCCAACATGTTCGTCAAAGTGCTTTTATTTTGACAGGTCACACCGGAAACGGCTGTATATACGGTAGCACACTTCACCTACTTCAGAAGTTAACTATGGTACGTGGTAGGTAACCAACGGGTTTTCTTACGTAGTAACGTTAGTTAAGCTGTGAACTTTAAAAACACAATAGGTGTTGGACAGACGAGCCGGGCAGACATGATGCTTCCTCGCAGGCAGGACTACGGGATGAAGAGGACCGGAGGACCGCGCAGTGGCTCCGTTATAAACTTTAGGACCACGGTAATCCCGGGCTCCGTCCGCCGCAGTTCCGCAGTGTTGCCGTCCGTGCTAACGTTTCTGGTGATCGTAGCATCCGGAGGCCTGCTGCTCATGATAGAGAAAGGAATGCTGAACAGCATGGAGACGCCTCCACCCCGGGGGAGCGGCAAGCGGCTGGACTTCATGCGGCAAGTTGGGAAGCACAGTCCGGGTGGTGTGGACGTGGACTCCCAGGTACAGTCATGTTAATACACCGGAAACTTCTGGGGAAGTTTACCAGTAGTGAATTGTTCCGGTGCAGCCAGCGGCGATTTTGATTTGTCTCGTGACTGTGTGAGTTATTATTTCACAACATTATAAGATCTGTGTCAGAAACTGAGGGATTTAAGGCTCTTACAGTCGTTTCATTAGTGCTGTATGCAGTGGGTCATGAGCCACTTTCACTTGGTCATCAAAGGGAAAACCACAAACTATTTTTAAAACGTAGTGGTTTGTTACTGTGTTCATTAAAACCCTCATATGTACATTTTGTAATCTTAATTTTGTGATCTTTATAATGGGATCAAATGGTATATAGCTGGTCAGATGTAATCCCAGATTAAAAGTGTGCATGTCGTTTTTATTTTTTAAGTAACTCTTGCCATTTCCCAAACATCTGCTCACTTTAAAGGGGCACTTAGTGGTTTTAGTGTTGGACTTTCATAATGCTGGGGAACTCCCAACATATCATTTTAATGAGGAACAAAAAAAAAGAATCAGCAGAGGCTGAGATATCCTGACTTTCAGTCCCATCATGCAACTTGAGAAGCCTTTTGTACACAGAGATGGCACTGTAGCCTCCTGAGACCCTGTGTCCTCATATGAGGACATCACATTTTGGGCTATACTTCATTCTGCTTAACTCAGACCTGTTGTCCTTGCTCGTGGACACTTGTTTGTGCCATCTAGTGGTAGTAAGAGCACAATACAGTAATCCATGTTAAAACAAGATGGCAGCCATCTCTGCCAAGTCAGTCTGCAGCAGATCCTGACACAAAAGTGGACAAGATCCAAAACCTGATCACATTTTATGGTTGAAACGTGTTTATTTATGATTAATAATGTTTGTAGTTTGATGTGGCGACAAATCTGCCTAATTTGAGTAACAGTAACAAATACTCGTTTTAAGACACTAGGACTTTATTATCTTCTCATTTGAGGACACTGGAACCTAATTAGTGTTTGGGTGGGTCCTACTGATCCCAAATTGCTAGGAGACATTTAAAAAAAAAAGTCTGGGTCTCAGGAGGATAGGGCCGCTTCAAAGTCCTGTCTTTACTCCACTGTGCATTTTTACACAGAACCAAACATAAGAGGCATCATGACGCTCCAGTGTGTGATTTCAGATTCATGCCAGCATAAGGAAGCAAAAAAATAAATCATTACGCTTGACACAAGTGTTGGCCTTTAGTGTGACATATAACATCACTTTCTAAGCAACAACAATGGAATAACATGGCAATGCTAATTATTTACCATTCCTGTTAAGGAGCTCCATCACCCAGTTGTGTTTTTTTCCTCAGAGACAGCATCTTTCTTCAGTTGTTCCCAATGAGGAGAGAGCGCTCTGCCTCTTCTGTGTGGCAGCTCCATGCGCTTTAAGATGAATATCTCTGAACTTTTCAGAAAGGCGCCGGTGACGTCACTGCTGCTCCTTTAGCTTGGCTACTGTCTGCTATCACAGCAAAGATAGAAAAGCTCATTTTTGGGAGCAGATCACCCGGCAGACACTGGATGTTGCTAGTGAGTGTTGTGCTTTTATCACTGTTCACTTTGTAAGCTTGATGTTGACTGTGTAGTCAACCCTCTGTTAATGTAGCGATGCATTAGCTAACTAGCTAACATCAGTGTCAAGATATTGTTGTCATAGAAACATATCCATACAGAGCACATCATTAAAAAAGCGCTGGGTGCGTTTTTTGATGAAGCACTTCCCAGCGCCCTGCCACTGCCTTTCTGCTGAAGACAAACACTGTGCACACAGGCCTTTACAGACATTTTTGGCCGCCGTTGTTCTTCTTTGAGTTAGCTGCTAACTGCTGCTAACTGCTTTGTAAATTTCCCACATTGGATCGCACACATTAACACGTCATCACAACGTCACACCTCTCCCGTGCACTGTCCTGTCCTGCCGGCTGCCCCTTTAACACAGATGCCAATTCAGGGCTGTTGCTACCTCTGGGGTTAAAGGGGAGACAACTCAGTCCCCCCATTCTGCGACCGTATCTTTTATACACAACAGCGAGGGGGCAAAATGGCATGCTAGTCCTGCCTTGAACAGCCAGGGTAAAGGGGCTATAGTCTTTTCATCAGTACTCATATCTTTCAAACTCCACACCTCCAGCTTGTATGCAGTCTGTCTGTTAAAACATTTTCAAATCTCAAAGAGATAACTGTGTGAGGGTGATTTTCCCAGACTTGACCATATACAGCTGATTCCACAGGCTGAGTAATAGGAGCTGTGACTAGTAAACTTATTGGTGTAACGCTCCCTAAAGTCACTGGTTTGTGTTCACATTTAGATCCTCCAGGAGATCCGTAACCGCACCATCAGGACCATGTGCAGCCAGAAGAACATGCCCCACAGCATTTGGTCCCTGAGCCCTGTGCAGAGGAAGACGCTGCTGCAGCACATCCTGGTGAATGACCAGTACCACTTCCTCTACTGCTACGTCCCCAAGGTGGCCTGCTCCAACTGGAAGAGGGTTCTGAAGGTTCTGAACGGAGCTCTGGAGAGCGTGGACGTCAACATCAAGATGGACCACCGCAGCGACCTGCTGTTTTTGTCCTCTCTAAAACCAGATGAGATCCGCTACCGCCTCAAGCACTACTACAAGTTCATGTTTGTGCGGGAGCCCATGGAGCGCCTGCTTTCTGCGTACAGGAACAAGTTTGGAGAGATTGAGTCCTACCAGAAAAAATACGGGGTAGAGATCATAAAGCGGTACAGAAAAGGCCACGCTAAGGAGTCAGCTGTAACGGGAGATGATGTGACATTTGCAGAGTTCATCCGTTACTTGCTGGATGAGGATGTGGAACGCATGAATGAGCACTGGATGCCAATGTACAACTTGTGCCAACCCTGCGCTGTGTCCTACGACTTCATTGGCTCCTATGAGCACCTTGAAAGTGATTCGGAGTTTGTGCTCCAGCGCATTGGAGCGCCTCCTCATGTGCGCTTCCCAGAGAGGCAAACGTGGTACAAGCCGGTCACCACAGAGACACTGCACTATTATCTGTGCACCTTGCCACAGAAGCTACTGAGGGAACTCCTGCCCAAGTACATTTTAGACTTCTCCCTCTTCACTTATCCTCTCCCCAACACAACCACTGAGCACTGCCGACATTAAATGTGCAATGTTTTATAGTTTTTAGATTATTTTTGATAGAGAATCTTTTTTTTTTTTTTTTTTTTTACTATTTTTATTCCTAGGGAACAAACCGTATTTTGATAGCTGTTACACATTGTTACTTGAGATGTTGGAATGCCATCAAAAAATGCTGATTATAGGAAGAGATGCAGACTTGAAAACCACTAAAGCTTGAAATCAGCTGAAGACAAAGACAAAAATGTAAATCACTGTCCAATTTCAACATGTTCCTTTCATGCACTGTTACAGTAAATGAACCAATTCAGTATATATTGATAGAAATGTAAAAACGGTTGCAAGACCAAACTTTGTATTTTGCTTGTTTCTTCATGTACATAGTGGAGATGGTTTAAAGGTCGATAGTTTCTGTGGGCATTCAGTGGTTTAGCAGGCTAAAACACAAACTCACAGGTTTGTGGGATTTAAATCAAGCTTGTGTCTCTTTGTTTCTTATGTCGCAGCCTCTCCTCCCCATCCGGCTCCCATTTTTTTTCCTATAACCATGGACTATTTAGCTCATAATAAAACAAAAGTTGAAGTTTTGTGATGTACATCACAGCAATTTCTTATTTTGTATTGCTTTATTTTATGAATAATTTAATAATTTAAACAGCATTGAAAAAAAAACAAGAATAAAAAAACAAGAATATTAAGCACAACACATGTAACCACAGGGTCAAACTAATACTGCTCTTGCTACATTTATGAGGTTAAAGTCGTTAAGTACAAAATTTATTTTAGAAGCACTGACTCATTCTTGAAGCTGAATCCAAATTTTATCAATGACTGAAACGTACTGACGGAGAGGACACTTTGCATCCAGATATGCAAGAGGAGTCAATGAGAAGATGGATATTTGAATGGAAACAAATCACAGTAAATGTTAGCACAGTCATTAGTTTAAGTCGTGGCATGATTTCATCCTGGGTGCCTCAGGCTGAGCTCGTACATAAAGTTGCTTGAGGCTAATTAATGCCAAGACTTGTGACCTCAACAACTCATGTCCAAGCACAAGCTTCTAGTGGTTTCTGACTCACTCATCAGATCCTTCATTTTGTCTGCCTCTCTAGTCGTTAATCCTTGAAGCTCACGCTTCTGAAAAGAGAAAGAGAAAGGATTTTAAAAATAGTTACAGCTCATCATTTTTTATTTTTACCCAAAAACTGTGCTTCCTGTTTAATATTAAAAACTAAATAGCTAAATTCCCAAATTGAAAATCTAAACCAAAAACATTGAGCACTAAAACAGCTGTATCACATTCACGTCCAAAGCCTTACTTGTCTGCTGACTTGTCAGTGGAGCGGTTAAGAGTGCGGAGGATGGAGCGCTCTGGGGACGTGTGATGAGGACTGGCGGAGAGGGAAGACGAACTCTGCAAGGACGAGAAGGACACACCCTGTCTGCGCATCTCCTGGACTGCCCTTTCACTGAGGACAGAGAGACAATTAGACAATCACAAAATGTATTGTTTGTGCCTCCAGTGTGTCGTTACATCTCCATAACTACAACATGTATCAAAGTTGTAAGTACGTACTTGTAAATTGCTTCAACACTTTTGATAATAAAGCCGTTTGAGTCATTTTTTAAGCAAAAATGTCAGAAGTCATTGATTCTAGCCTCTCACCTGAATATTTGCAGGGGGAGGTTGTCTCATATGTATGTGTTATATCTATATCAGGGATCTACATCTTTACGCTCGCCAGCAAAAGTGATGGTAAAAGCCAACCCCAGCATTTTTTAAAAAAGATTTTAGGGCATCTTCCCTTTATTGATTGTACAGCTCAAGAGAGACAGGAAAGGTGGAAGAGAGAGGGGGGATGACATGCAGCAAAATCGCCACAGGTTGAAACTGAAACCGTCCCACTGCAAAGGCTTCAGTCTATATCGGGCACACACTCCACCAGGTGAGCTAGAGGTCGCCCCTATACATGTGTTTTTTTTGGCGCTGTGTCTCTTGGATGCTGCTGCTGCTTACAGTGTGGCACCTGATCACAAACTTTAATAGCAGCCCAACTTTACCTGAGCATTGTACAGGCATCCCGAACACAGAGAAGATGAAGAAAAAAGGACAGTACAAGCAGAGGGCAGAGTCTCTGCAGAAAAAATACACCACCTCACACTGAGAGTGGGTCATAAGTGATGATTGATTGATTACTTCTGTATGAGTCTATACATTGCTAGTTTATATTGGTAATATATGCACAGGTATATATTGATTTTTCACATTCTTTTGGTCACTTTTACTTCCGGTAGTAACTGGCACAGGTGTGGGTGTGGTTTTACATTATTTTACTCGTCATTCACTGGCGTCGCAGCTTTTTAGACGAAGAGGGTGAGTGTTTGGCACCGTTATTTTCTGTTGACTAACCGCATACCGTAATATTTTCTTTCATCTCATTTTGCTTTAGTTATCCAGTTGTTTTTGAACGAGTCACAGTTAAGAGCCTACTCAGCCTCTTAGCTGCTTTTTCATTGATAGTAGTCGCTACACCAATTAAGATCTTATATTTAGATCAGTGAATTCAGTGTCCTTTAAGACTTTTTAAGGATCCGATATTTGTAGTTGAATATTTTTGGGTTTTGGTCTGTTGGTCAGACACAACAATATCATCGCCTTGGGCTCTGATAAGGTGAGAAAATAATTGGCAGGTTAACTGATAATAAAAATAATCTTTTAGTTGCAGGCCTGAGTTTCCAGATATTCTAAAAGAAGGAAAGCATTTTTATTTTCACCAAAGCTTGTATGAAGAAATTGTTTGTTTCGAGCTGCAAGAGGACATTTCCAGTCATGTTTCTCCATCCTGATGATCTACTTTAAAGATCAAAAGTGATGAAAGTTTTTTTCAGCCTACTCCAACTCAATACGAAAATAATTTAGTTTGTGAACACTAGTGTTGCATCAGTTATAATAATAATTACATATTAGTTGAATTTTAATCACACAGCTTAACACAAAATACCTTTTGTAGATATGCTGACAGATCTAATTTGTGTCAGACTTGATTTCTGTGCTGAGGTAAGAGTTGTAAAGTCAACGTCAGTGTGAAGACCGACACTTGTTCAGCTCACCGTTCAAAGCGTTCAGTCGTCAACTGTCTTTTCAGAACGTCCATCTCCGTCTGCAGCTGAGACACTTTGCCGCGGAGCTGGGACACCTCCCTGGCATGCTCCGCGCTGAGTGTATTAACACACATGCAAACATATCAGAATCAGCTGTTTGAACAAAAAGGCATTTATCCAAGTCTCACAGTTTAAGTCAGAATACTTTATTTACGTTTTGCTGTCAGCCAGGGTCAGCCTATCACGTAGGACCTTCAGCTCCGACTCCCTCTCGCTGGCTGTCAGGTGGGTTTGGAACTCCTTGTGCCGATTGGTGGAGAGAAGGGTCTCAAGGTTACGGACAGTCAGCCTCTCACTGGCAAGTTGTTTCTTCAGTAGCTCTGCCTCTGACTGAACATCCTCCAGTTCTCCGGTAACCTACAAAACATGCACATTGTATTTAGAGAAAGCATAAATAAATGTTGTTGATCACTTACATGTATAACCTCCAGTTGGATGCAACCAGCTCAGAGCAAAGTTAGCAGGCCCCACCCTCTCTAGATCCATGCTCCTGGAGGTGAGCTGACGTGCAGCGAGCTCCTTGCCAGAGTCCAGTTTGACACACAGCTCCCTGACGGATGCCAGATCCGAGAGGAGTGCGGCCTTCTCCTCCTGTGTTTTGCGTAGCTCCTCCTCTAATCGGGACATCCCTCGAACCAGTGATGATACTTGGGCCTCATAAGCCTGCAGGGCCTGTGCGTGCTTGGGAAACAGTGGAGGGGAAAGGTACATTCATCACGTGATGGTGTACATATAGGAACTGAATGTTGAACTGTCCAGTGTAATCTCACATTGAAACATACGACTTCCACATACACTTGCCCACAATGTGGGTGCATCAGCAGCTTCCATCCCGTGTCTTACTTGTTGGATTTCTCTCTCCTGGTGGCCGACAGTGTCACGGAGGTGCCTGCGTTCAGTGTCTGAAGAAAGCAGCTCCAGGCGAATGGAGTTATTGAGGCCTTCAGCCTGCTGCAACTTCTGCTCCCGCTCCTCCACCTCAGAGTGAGCCATCCTGAAACGCTCCAGCAAGTCCCTGTTCTCCTGCTCCTGTGGGTCAACACAGCAGTCAACTGGCTGACAGGACAGGGTATATAGGATGGCAATATCTACTATACAGAGCCTTAAACAACTATAGAAGTGGACAGTTTTGTCTTGCCTTTGTGGCCATCAGCTTCTCTATTCTGGACACTTCAGAAATGTACGAGTGGACCCTCAACTTCAGCTCATCCTTCTCGTGCAACGCCTCCTCCATCTCCACATGTACAGCCTGCACAAACACAACAGGAGCTGCTGTTATTTTGTCTTAGTTTCCATCTTTTCTTCATCTGTGACACAAAGGAAACAACCACAGACTAAAAACAGTACTGTTCATAACATACTTGATTCTCTCTGGTCATTGTAGCCAGGTCATCTTGCAGCCTCCTGTTCTCTCTGATTGTGATTTCCTTGTCTCTCCTGAGTCCTGCCAGCTCCTCCTGACAGGCATCCAGCTGCCTTCTCAGACTGGTGATCTCCCTCTCACGGCTGTTTAACGCCCCCTGCAGCTGACTGCCAGGATCACATATTAAGAAATCAGCTTATTGAGGGGGAGGTATGACTCTCAGTCGCATTTAGTTGCTTTAAAAATCAACGCAGAACTTTGAGAGCACAATACTCACGCTAGTGAATTGTCCATGTTTGTGACTGTGAGTCGCACATCTTCAAGGGTCTGTTCCTGTGTTTATACCACATAATTAAGCTTCATTAGTAGTACTCATCCAGCACAACTCATGATCCCTGGCTGTGAAGAGATCCCTTGCTAAAGTGATTCCAGTGGAAGTGATGGGGGACAAAATCCAGAGTCCCGATTCCATACAAACATGTATTTAAGTTTACTGGATGTTAATTTGAGGCTTCAGCAGTCTGAATTAGTCAAATCAAGTGGGTTTCTTCCCAGGTTAGAGCCAGTTAAAGCCCCATTTAAACCAAACATATTCACTGTGGTTAAAACTCAGTGCACAGAAAGAGGACTGTGGGTTTTTTCCTCACCTACTGTAAACTGGATGAGACATTTTCAATGCCAGTATGAACAGGTGGAATGATTACATGGACCAGTAACTCTTTCATGGTACATATGGGCATGTGAGTATTGTTTTAAGCAGACTTGGAAAAATAAAGTGAGTCTATACTTGTTGTCTCGTAGCTACCTTTTTCGACAGCTCGTCCTGGAGAACAACCAGTTTTTCAGTCTTCTGATCCACCTCATCCTGCAGAGCATCTTTCTCTCTGTCCAAAGCAGAGATGGACTTCTGAAGAACAGACACTTCCTCCTTGTGCTTGGAGCCTCGCTGACTCAGCTCCCCTGTCGCACAAAACAAAACACAAATAAATAAATAAAAAATCAAGCAAACGGCAGAGCAGCCAGAGAGGGAGAGGGCATTACAACAATACAGCACCAACTGTGGCAGTCCATCCTGCACC